AATTCCAGATTTTCCAAAAAAAAATACCCGAAATTCTCTATAATTTTCCCAAAATGAGGGCTAAATTTGAGAAAAATTCACAGTACTCTCTAAATTCCAAGCCTTTTCAAGTAAGTAAAACCCAAAAAATTTCACGACCTAGTCTCTCATAGGATTCCGATAGCTCCGTTAAACCTAAAGCCTTTCGGGCAGTTGATTTCCGTTGATTTGCTTGGTGCAATCGAGAGATTTTTGGGAATTTTCGGAAAAATGACCAATAAAGGAGGGTCAAAAGGTCATGAAAGGTCACCAAAAGGTCAAAGGTCAAAGGTCACTAATCAATTTCAGTGTCGTACATCATCAGCGAGGCCACACCACCAAGCGCCGCTGAAATGCCCTCAAGAGACCGCCGTGCAGACGGATGGAGCCCTTCCGCTCCTGATCGAATGTGTTGAATGCTCCTCAAATTTAGCCACATCCCAAAATTCCTCTTCACAGCAGTTAGCGGAAAAATTCTTTTGAAAAATTCTTTAGATTGGAAAATTTTTTGAAAAAGGAAAAATTTTCGGAAAATTTTCACTGTTTTCAAAGTTATGGAAAATTTTTCAAAATATTTTCCAGCCCATCTATTTGTATTTGCATGATTATTATTGTTATTATTAGTATTTTTGTTGGCTTGTCCTAATTAATTAATTAATTGTTGCACTCATAATTAAGAGATTATGTGTATGCGTGTATATACATAGTCTATTCCGTTTGAATATTACTTCGTGTCATTTTATTATTTTTATTATTATTATTATTATTATATTATTATTATTATATTATTATTATTATATTATTATTATAATATTATTATTATATTAATATGATCATATCGATATTATATTCAGCATACAACAATGCGTTCTTTCATGTGTTCTAAAACTAATCCACACTAAGCTCAATTTATCCGCTCTTAATCCGATATCGAGTTCCTTTTCTCACTTAACTCCTCCCAAACCCAGATTACTCTCCGGAGATTTTTGAGGATATCTCCCGGATATACCGGATATCTTTTCCTGATACCGGATATCGGATACGGGAGCTGGATATCGGATATCGGATACCCATTTGTCTGCGTTCTCGAGATTCTCGGAATCACGTCGACGAGATTATTCACCAGTAATAAATGCCATATGTATATGAGGTAAATTTGCCGACTTCAGTGACTATAGCAACGGGATTTAGGAGGTTTAGC